CAGAAGCACAGGAAAAGGAAAAGCGAGGAAGGAGATCAGTGGGCTGGTGTCTGAGAGCGTGAAGCCTAAAGGGGGCCACAAAAACCAACATCGAGGCCCCAAATAAGTCCAGAACTCGCGCTCGGTCCTGACTCGTTTGGGCCTCACAAAACTGGCTCCTGAACGTGTCGAGCAGACGTTTGTTCAGATTACGCAACAGGAAGCTACTCACGATCAAGAGTAGTGTCGTTAATGTTCGATAAAACTGAAGATCCCGTTAGGGGGAACTTCTGCAGCAGCGTTATAGATATATAGAGCATAGACAGAGTCTGAGAAAACATAAACAAGTAAACGATATACAGTAAATACAAAGAATGTAAAGAGAAACAATCAAACACTAAGAGCTAAAAATAAGTAGATATTACAGTGGACTCGATTACACAGAGTGAAGAAAGCGACATTTGTGCTTCTCTGGTTTGTTGATCTTTTTACAGTACGGTTTGATGCAAAGAAAACTATTGCATACAAATGATTGGCCTTTAGTCCACCGCGGGAGGAGAAGGCGGAGCTTCTCCGACCTGGTGGGATGGTGTCTGTTAAATGAGGTCACACTAAACACGCGAGGATAGTTTTTGCCAATTCAATTAGAGTTCAATTGTTCAAATCACTGTGCAAAGTACTCTCAACTACACGAAACCTCATCGTTTACAGCCGTCGACCTCCATCATTTAACACCGTTTCAGTGCGTCGACGTGCTTTCCAATGAACTTTTAAAGCGGGCGTTACTGATGATTGTCACTTCTGACTTTGTTCGAGTGCTCTGTTGACTCGGTCCTGATCATTAATGCATAAATCACCACGGCTAGCACGCTTACGTAGCCGAAGTAGGCTCGCAAACACCAAAGATCTGGCTCGAAGCACCGCAGAGCAACGGGGAAGAAAATGAAAACCGCTCAACATAAACTTACATTATAATTAGATCAGATTATTGAAAGCCTTTAATATCAATATTGGCTTTAAAACAAACAAAACACAGTCTAGTCTCTAATATCACTACCTCTGGGATAAACTATTTTTAACACGTCTTAAATGTTTGCGATATTGAGTACATAAAGCCAATATGTTGATCACCATCATTATTTTAAACAGACTGAGCCACGCAGCGTACAGTCACTGATCCGATTAGTTAGAAGAAGCCAGCTTTGTGAGACCATCAGTCCGATTCCTGATATAAAGACCAGCGTCTTTATTTTCTTGCATTCACATCTATTAGCGATGCCGTTGATATCGGACGCTTGGCTGTTAGCTGGTACGCTTAACGCTGCTTGAAGGAGGAGCCTATTGAACAGCACGCACTGGAAGGAACTACCACCTAATTCCAAAACTGGCCAACAAAATCTTGGCCGCCTTCTGAAAATTCCCAGAGGGCTCGATGAGTGGGAATATTATCGATAAAAAGGGACGACAGCCTACAGAGATACAGAGGAGAAGCAGGGATGGAAGCTATTAGGAAAATACTGGATCGTCAGGCAGTCCAATTAATACTAGTTTCCCCAAGGGGAGGAGGGGGCTGGGGTGGGGGTGTTCAATCTGCGTGGGCATGCCTAACAGAGCACACCCCCTCCCCACTCACACACACATATACACACTGCAAGTCGCAGGAAAAAGGCACTAGAGTGGGGCTGTTTCTAGCCGTAGAAAAGTAAAAGCGATATACATTCATAGCTCACAGGTTTTCTGGGAATAAATACACAAAATGCACTTGTAGAAAAATAAAATGTAAAAAAGCGTGGCCCCTATTTTTTATTTATTTTTTGTAATTTTTGGAATCAGGGAGACAAGTATGGCTACTTTTTCACGGCTTTTTAAACCCCCCCTCCCCCCATTTCTCCCCACCTTACCGTGCCCGACCCAACACTTAAAAGGCAATTCAGGAGTGACCCTCCGCTGCTCCGGCTGCGAGCAGTCGAGCCCTTTCATGCACGCCGATATGGGAGGAAGGGAGGAGGTGGACGACGGGGGGGTGAAGTGGAGGGATGGAGCGAAGGGAGGGGTCGCTGTTGGTAGGAGGTCAAGGCTCAGCTTTCAGTGCGAGGAAGGAGAGGGGGAACTGAGGAGAACGCTTTCAGATGTTCGGACGACAGAAAGCTCAGTCACGCACACAAACAGCACACGACTCAGTGTCTTCATGTACAGTGTTCAAGCTGGAAGGACCCGGGAGGCAAACATGTGCACGAATCTCGGTACCGCTTTGCTTTAAAGCCTCACGCTGAGCATTCGCGAGCACTGCAAATACCCAACAACTGGTTTATAACACACTATAATTACCGAGGTTTCACACCCGCTGTTCAGACAGACACTTTGACCTTAGACGATGAGTATAATCCAAGAAACGGGACTACGTTACTCAAACTTATTTCTATTTAAAAAAAAGTAAAATATAACAGTTGTCTAGTGTATGATCCGTTTCTCCTACAGGACGCCGCCTTTGTTTGTAGCTTAGAGTCGGGACTAAAAGGCTTTCTGGCTTTTATTTACAGGAGTTTCTAAGACGCGTGCGCCATCTTTTACTGCCACAGAGGGGAAGGAATGAATTCAAGAAAGACCAGTCCCCAAATCTTTACTGCAGAGACCCAAACCAGGCTTAGAACAAAAAGTGGCAAAGAGCTGTCACACGTAATGAGCACAATTATCAGACCGGACCTCTCCGGTGCGCAGCGTTCTTCTGAAACGTTCTCATCGTGTCCGATCGCGTGCAAACAGAGCAGCTAACGCTCTGGTGCGTACGCCGCGACTGCAACCCTTGCCCAAACCACGTTAGTAGTATTTTCAGTAAGTGAATCTTTTACTGCTCTAACGTGTGAGAGGAAAACAAGAGAAGAAGAACTGCTCCATGCATGAAAACCTCTTAAAACAAGAAGAACTAAAAGTCTTTAACTCCTAAACTCTGATCAATATGATAACATGAGGAAACGCGCATCTGCTTACAACTACATTATAGTGTGTCACAATCCATTTGTTTGAAGTTTATGTACCTATTAATGTTAAACAGGTGGCTAATAAAGTAAAGTGCTACCTTAATTCTTTATATGTTGGTGTACGCTCGGGGGAAGCATCAAACTGGCTGTTTGTGTTCAAGCAAACAGAGAAGTCAGTAACCACAAAGACAACATCTCCCCTTAAACCTCAGCAGTGCTTGCACACACATGCTCGGACACACACACACACACACACACACACACACACACAACTCAAGATGTCGAGAGAGAAATGAGCTCCAGCTGACAACGGGGGTGGGGGGGAAGAATCGGAGTGTTCTGCCGAGTAAGGAGTGTGCATGTAGAGGAGGAAGAGGAGGAGGGGGAAGTATTAGGTTTGCAGAGGCGGGAGCAATGAGGGTGCAGGAGGGTGGAGGAGGGGTTGTGGGGTGAATTCCACACCACTGCACAGACGCGAGACGAGAGACGCGTAGTGAAAATCCTGACTGCAGACGGAGTTCTGCCGCTCCGGCGTCTCCTTCCACGCCCGCTGCTCCTCCTCCGGCTCTCTCCCCGGCGTCGAGCGTAGGTGGTGGAGTTGTGTCTTCGTGTGTGCTTGTTCGAAGGTTCAGTCAGTCCCACGAAAGAGCTGCGACGGATCTGGCTACCCGTCTCCGCCATCCGCGGGCCGGCTTCCACTTCCTGTCACGTGGTCGCCTCCAGGTAGCTCTGTAGTTTGCGGACGGTGGACTCGTCCAGTGAAAAGAGGTCAAAGTCAAAGGTGGTGTTGGTCACGTTGAAATGGCCCGTCTCCTCGATCAGGTTGACGATCTGATAGAGAGGAAGATCAGTTAACGTCACGGCAACCGTTAGCACCGCACGCTCACAGAATCAGCATCACAGGGTGATGTTCGAGCACGCACCTGCTGCAGGACGTTACGCTCCCTTAATGCCATCAGTCTGCGGTGGAGGTCCACCAGTTCTTCTGTGTAGGCCTGCTCCATGGGACAGGA